TCAGGATGGTCTCACCAGGCTATTAGGTCCGTTGAATTAACAACAAAATAAAAGTTTGTCTTTTACAGTTAAGAAAATCCCGAAACGTACCTTTTTTTTTTTCATTTTGGCAAATGCCGTTTTTCTAATTTCGTAACAAAAACGAAAAAACAGAAAAACCGCATGCTTGTTTTGTTTTTTCGTTTTTGTTTTGAAACGAAAAACCCAAAGAACGAACCAAACACGGATTGTCCACCGTAGGTCTTTTTAGTTTTAGACACTTTTTTGTTACAGCTTTTCCAGAAGCTGCACTTAGTATCTGAAATAAGTGTTAGAGGATACATTGTATGATGGTAAAACGGCAAAATATAATAAATAAATGAATATGTCCGAGATACGTTTTGCATTATGTTGTGGATCTACACAATTCTTGATGAATTGTTTTAGTGTATTTTTTGAGCTGGAGTGATAAAGAATTGTTTTATCTCGCATAATTTTTCGCTTAAAGTTCGATTTCCCTCCGTCTCAGTTTTTCCGCGTTGTGTCTTTGCAGTACAGGGAACAGGAAGCCATCCGGCTTTGCCTCAAGCACTTCCGGCAGCATAACTACACCGAGGCCTTCGAGTCGTTGCAGAAGAAGACGCGCATAGCGCTGGAGCACCCCATGCTCACCCACCTCCACGACTGCCTGGTGCTGCAGGGAGACTTCGACGCCTGCGAGGAGCTCATAGATAAAGCAGTGAGAGGTACGGCGCCGCTGCTCCTTCCCACCAGCTCATTGGCTGGTCGCTCTCCTAACGCTCGGTTTCCTTCCTCTGCCAGACGGTTTGTTTAACCAGTATATCAGCCAGCAGGAGTACAAGCCCAGGTGGAGTCAGATCATCCCCAAATGCAACAAAGGTACAAGCAGCCAAGAAATCAGCCGAGACGACGTGAACAGTGAGAGAAATCCTCCCAGTTTGATGGATCAGAGCGCCCTGGAAGCCGGCTGCAGGCCTAACCCTTCCTTTATTTATCCCCCCCCCCTCCTGTAGGTGACGGCGATGACAACAGGCCGGGGATGAGGGGAGGACATCAAATGGTCATTGACGTCCAGACTGGTGAGACCTGCGCAGGCGGCGTTATGACATCGCTGTGACTCACTTCCTCCTTCGCTCTGTTTCTATTTAATCTAATTAACCCCCCCCCCTCGTTTTCATCTGTAACCACCTTCAGACCGAGGCTGATTTGAGAAGCACCTGCCGCTCTGCTCTTGGTTTTTGCTGGAATGGCGGCTGCAGGTCCGCCGTCTCTAAGATCAAAGCTGATGTTGTGCGGAGGCAGACGATCAGCCGTCATGGCTCTCTGACTCAGAGCACGCTTACCGCTGTGTGGATGACACATCCCGTTTAGTCCCTCCTGTTTGTTATTCATGGCTGATAGATTTTTATTCCAGTCATGAGGAGTTTAACATCCAAACAGCGCCCTGCTGTCTGAGGCCCATTTCTCTATATGTTAGATTAGTTTTAAAGCTAAGAAATACAAACGCATGTGCAGCAATTCCTTTCTTGTATAAAGGATCAATGATTGGAGCCTGATAAAAATGAATTTGATTAATTCCCGATTTAAAACGATTCATTTGAGTATCACTGTTCTGGAAAATGACAGCAATACAAGAAAACAGTTTATGGGCCAGACTTCCTAAAAGGCTCGCATTAATGTCTGCATCGCTCTTTAAGAATGTCTACCCTAAAATAATCAGGAAGTCGTTCTTTTTGTGTAAGGAAGGGGTCGGATGTTTTTGGTCATGTGACACTGATGATGACGTCAGGTTTTTCATGGTGTCCAATCAGAAAATCTGTCAGTACGGAAGAGGATTAGGGCCACTGGAAAAAGAAAAAAGTTAACTGATTTTTTTATTTTATTTCAGTTTAACATGGGAAAAAAGTCAGAATTCTGACTTTAATCTCAGAATTCTGACTTTTTTTTATTGTCAGAATTCTGACAATAAAAGACGAGACGAGCTAACGTTAGCCCTGGCTGCTGCAGACGGGCTAACGTTAGCCCTGGCTGCTACAGACGGGGTTTCACGGGGAAATTAGGGCATACCAAAGCTGTTAATCACAAAAACGGGGTGTACAATTTCTAGTACTTTTAGTAAAGGGTGCATAATGTACGGCCGTACGCATTACTAGCTTAAGCCTGCTATAAAAGTTCATTCATTCGGCTGCAACAAACCTTTTATATAGACGTAATAAAATTGGACTAGTCCATCTCTGATTTCATGTTCTTGGAAGAAGAATCTCAGTGATCCAGGAAGATCTGTGTCGGTTCTGCTTTGCTAAAACAGAAAAAGATGTTCTGGTGCGTCGCTGTGATGTCAGATCTCCTCTGATCAACCTGAAACTGTGAGCTAAAGGTTGATGCGTCTGTCCTCCCTGCAGAGACGGTCTACCTGTTCGGGGGCTGGGACGGCACACAGGATCTGGCAGACTTCTGGGCGTACAGCGTTCAGGAGAACCAGTGGGCCTGCATCTCCAGAGACACCGAAAAAGAGGTGAGGAGGTCGCCTGCAGCACGAGTCGCTCGTCTGTTTTAAAGAGGATCCAGAATAATAAGCCTGTCTGCTGTCCACCAAGCAGAACGGCCCCAGCGCGCGCTCCTGCCACAAGATGTGCATCGACTCTCAGCGCCGACAGATCTACACGCTGGGCCGTTACCTGGACTCCAGCGTCAGGAACAGCAAGTCGCTGAAGAGCGACTTCTACCGCTACGACATCAACGCCAACACCTGGACGCTGCTCAGCGAGGACACGTCGGCAGATGGAGGGCCCAAGTTGGTGTTCGACCACCAGGTAGGCTGGGAGATGGACGCCGCTCCAATGGACGCGAACGGCTCGCAGAGTCTTTTATGCTGCGACTAATACAAAAGATCCTTTAAGGAGATTTCATTTAGTTATAACGTCTTCATCAGCCGTGGAAGCTGATCGATCTGATCGGGTAAAGATTCATTTTAAAGATTAGTTTTCTCTTTTTTTTTTTTTT